CCAAATGCATATATCTTCCCATGATGAGAGGGCTAGTGCAGCATTTCAGCAGAGAATGAGCAGATACTCAACATACATACACGCAAATTGCGGCGCTCAAGAGCATGCTCATTATTGATTTGCTGAAGACGTTCCAACAATGCCTTGCCAGTTGGTGACAAGTTTGTTGCATTGCGCAGCACAAGAAGCTCTATATCTCCAGTGCCTAGAAATAGATGTTAGTAGAAATTATATAAACATCAATTTCTCATACACTTGTTCAGGACAAGATGTGAATGCTCCCTGTCTAATATTTTCCACCCTTCTTCCTTTTTCCCGATATATGTAACATTGGGGAACCTTGCTGGATCTGGGTGTGGTGGCATGCCTTCTGATTCATCAACAAGCCATGTAGCAGGTTTCTTTTTGATGTGAGGGAATTTGTAATCCAAAGCTGGATCAAATTCAACATAATGGACCTGTAAATCCAGCTCTTGAGCTTGTTGAATCAGGGTCTCTTTATCTATGCGCCGCTTCAGGTCCAAATCCTGCACCTAGTGGGTAGAATGCGATGCAACAGTGTGATTCTCCAGAGTAATAGGCCTTACCACCCGCTGTTTCGCCCATCGGCTTGCTTTGACCTCATCTTTGAGTATCTTGACATGCTTCTGAGCAACACATAGATATTGAAATGTCTTGACACCCTTGAGTTTCTCTGGCCCATTGCGAATGACATCATCGATCTGCTGCTGTTCATACAGTCCTGCATTAGGCTTGATCAGGTGCACTGAGGACAAGAATATTACCTTCTCAACCTTGCACTCAGCAGCTAGAAGGATGAGGACTACATCCCAGGCAGCTGTAGCATCATCCCAGTTTGTTGTTTTGAACACTTGGTCGAGGGATGAGGCACATATTTCAATGCAGCTTTGCACTCCAACACAGCAGTATTCGTAAGTACTCTATCCAAGCAGTGTGCCACATACACTTTGTTGCAATATTTCGCACTTTTTTTGGCTTCGGCTCAGAAGACATTGCAGCAGAGAGTTGACAAAGTGATATCATAACACAGCCTCAAGTCACATGACAGCAGCATGAGAACATCAGCCTAACAAGAATGTGGAACTTGGTGCAACCACTTGTTCCACCATGTGGAAAGCCTTATATGCAGCACATAGGCCAACAGACAAGTGACATGCTGCTGTTAAACTCACAGTCGGTGTGTTGACCTGACCCAGAATGAGGGCAGAGGGAGGGGGTGGTGTAGGAGAAATAATGGGCACCCTATGAAAACATGTTATGAAATTATGCTGTGGAAACACCATTGACACTGTGGAACAGGAAAGGATGAGTAACAAGGAGATGTAGATTTCCTTGGAATTTTTACGATTTTTTTTATGAATTTTTATGACAATTACCAATGAATTCAAACATAGAAAATCAACAAAAATACTTCGAGCTTAGCATCAATAGGATGGAATGTTCAGGAGAATTCACAATGAATAACTAAACAAGAATGGAGTTATTTGGAAAAGATTTGACCAAGTACTCTTTAATAATGATAAACGAGTGAAATGGTTCAAATTTAGAACAAAATACTTGGTCGTAGTTAAGAATTGAACAAACAAATGTGTTAGAGCTCTCTGCTTTATTAGTATATTTTTCCCTAAAATTCCCACCATGGTCCATCGTAGTTTTGTGGTTTTTTTGTAGTTTTTTGTCCATTTCCCCTGGTTCCTGCTCGTATTATTGCATCCTAGTCCTTCATATGTAGTGTTTGTTGTTATAATAAGTCATCCTTGTCACGAACCCACCCAGGGAAGATCCGAAGCACTACCCAGGTGGGTGTGTCTGATGGAGCTCGATGTTCCAGGTCGTCTGACTGTCATATCCATACCAACTCTGCCCAACCTCCGATCTACTCCACCACTGTGTTCCCCTCTGGTTTGTCCTCTCCCTCATCTCCACCATAACCTCCGGTCCACCTCCAGTCCACCTCCACCTCCGATCTCTGGTACCTTCTCCAGTACCCCTTATCCTCATCTTAGACGTTTATTAATATTTTGTCAGGGCACACCCACCTGACCTGGCCCCACCTGACCTGGTGTCAGGGGACAGACCCCAGGTCCCCATGACCCCTCTCTCTATGGCCCACAGCCCAACCTGTAACAGCCTAGTCCCAAGGCAAAGAGCTACTGTGGGTAAGAAAGTGTATAAGGTAAAGAAGCAGTGTAGAATACACTTGCCTACTGTGGGTAAGAAAGTGAGAAGAAGGTTAACTTCTCACTTTCCCACAGTGGCCCAATATGGCGAAAACTTCTGGGGATACCCGGAAGTCACATGAAGGTAGGATCTGGAGACCGGAGCTGCAGTGCATGGATTATGTGGCATGGGAAGCACATGTGGGAAGTGGAGTGGGTCCAGATGCAGGTCTGGGTCCGGGCTAAGTCAGGGTATGTGCCCTGACACCTGGTGCCCCACCATCCGCTCCTCCCAACCTCCCCCCTTTTTCCCTTTTACTCTCCCGACCTCCCTTTCTCCTCCTTTCTCTCTCCACTCTTCTCCTCCCTTTCTTTCTTCTTTCTTCTTTTCTTATCACACAGACGACTTCCCTTGTATCAATGTGCCATTGACCCAGCTGCAGTGCAACACACCTGGACCCAGACACACTGAACGACCTCCCACATACTGGATGCTCCTGGGACCTCTTGCAGAGGTACCCAGATGGATGTGGCTGTGTGTGTAGATGACATGGCCTTAACCACATGTATATAAACACAGCGTAAGTGGGAACTGAGAAGCAGCCTTCTTCTCACACTTCCCACTTTAGCCTAAGTGGCCAGGGACATTTGTCTGCACCAGGCCTGTTGCTACACATGCCTGCATCACACCCTACTGGGCCCTCAGCCCTGGGCAATATACCTGGATGCTCTCGACCCTGGGTCGGTCCCTGACATATTTCTACCTACCCAATATTACTGCGGACCTCCTAGGACCTCCACCAATCCTGCAAAGGGTTCCCACTATCCAATAGCTGTTGCTAATCCCACCCTTCATCTACCCACTCCACAATGCTTGATAAGGTGATTCTCTCACGAGCTTGCCAACCTGGCAAGTGGGTAAGTCCATCTTGGGTTTTCCCTTTGTTCCTATTTGTCTTGTATTATGTATATAAGTCATGTACTGTAGTTGATGGCACTTCAGTGCAAAATCGACGACTAGATCCCCCCAGAGTTCGCGCCCCCTCGTTCTGAAGTTAAGGACCCAACACTGCTCCTCTCCAAGTCGCTGAGGCCATGGTCCCTCTGCTTGTCCTCTACCTCTGGCCTCCCTTCCGGGGAAAGGTCCAGACACGCCCCTCCTGGCCATGTTCTGACACCAACGGTGGGTCGGAGACAGGCCAGAGGTGGGGCAGAGCTCTGAGGGTGATGGGGTGTTGAAGGGACTCAGCTTCAGCAACTTGGAATGGAGCACTGTGCCCATTACATCCTCGTTGTCCCCAATTTGTCAGGGGGGCTGGCGATGGAGGAACTGAGGCTGCCAGTGGAAGGGGGCCAGAAGCCCCCCTCACTACTTAATGATGGAGGCGTTAGCGAGGGTCAATTGTTTGTCATGCGATTCATTGGGTTTTATACCAAGGCACCTTTAGAAGACACATCTGTCACTCAGCTCTTGGTTCAAGGTGGAGCAGCAGGTGAGTAGAGCGCAATAGACATCGTGGAAGAGGGTTTGGATTCAAGGACTTAATATTATAACTGGGGGGAACTATTTACTAGAGTGGTATGTGCATAGATATAGCAGAGATAATTGGATCCGAAGGTAAACAAAGGTTACCAAGGGGAAGGAGAAGTAAATAGAAAGACTCCACAGGACAAATATAGAATAGGTGAAAAGCCCGAGTTACATCTGAAGTTTGTGGAGTGGGAGAATTAGAAACCAACTGAATGGTAAGGCCTGGGCCCATCTATGAATGAGCAGGGGGCTACAGGGGAAGACATCTGGAAAGGTCTGGAGCCTGGAAGTCATAGTCCAGAAGATTGGGGTTGCAGAAAATATCAAATGATAAACTAATAAGGAATAACATGACTGGAGGTGTTAGAACTGGGCGAGGATGGACGATTCTGGAGGGGAACCGGAGACTTAGCAAGGAGGGACCTTGGCCTCAGTGACTCATGTGGAGCGCTGTGCCATTGCTGTTTGTCCATTTGGTCCTTAATTTCAGAGGCAGCGAGCAGGAAGTCTCTAGGGGGCATTTCAGGTCGATTTTAGACTGAAGGTCCAAAACGAGTATGTACAGGCGCCTGTATATAATAGGGAGATGAGAGCACAAGGGGAACAAAGGGGGTCCGAATCGGAACAAAGGCATCCAAACAGGAACAAAGGGATGATGGAAGCGGAGTGGTACCGAAGGTCATAGGTCAGAACCTGTGGTACATCCAAAAGGAGATAGGGAGGGCAAAGCCCAGAGGGGCAGGAGGATGAGGTGAAGTGGGGATGATGACTAACTGGCTAGAATGGAGAGAAGCAGCAGTCCAAATACGGATGAGGGGAAAACACGAAAGATACATTACAAATGGCGAAAGTGCCAAGTATGATCTGTGGAGCTCGGAGGTTACGGAGGTTACAGAGGTGGGGTTGAAAGTCCGAGGAATATTGGCAATGGTGTTTATGCAGTATAAGGTCACCAATGCAATGGACTTAAGCCGAGGTGGAGTCAAAGTCCGAGGGCAGAACTATGATGGAATTTCGGAGTGAAGGTACAAGTGGTGTCCGAGTACAGGGTACGGGACAGCGGTGGAAGGTCGTAACTTGGCGGAGGATTGGTGGAAGAGGGTCAGAGGGAGGAGAGAGAAGAGAGGAGCGGGGTGAGGAGTGGAGGAGAGGAAAGGTGTCAGGTCCGAAGGTGAGTATCGGAGCAGACAGGAGTAGGGTAGGAGGGTGAAGGAAGGGTGGAGGTGTCGTGGAGTAAGAGGAGGAGTGAGAGGAGGAGTGAGAGGAGGAGTGAGAGGAGGAGGGTGGCGAGAGGAGTGATATTCGGTCTGAGGTGAGTATCAGAGCAGACAGAGATAAGGTAGGGGAAGGACTCCGGAGGTGGTGAAGATGGGAGTCCAGGAGTTGGATCGGGATCGGGTATGTACAGATATGACAGGAGGTACACAACTGGAGGCGATGGAGACCAGAAGGGTGGATAGACAAGTTGAGGGTTACCAACAACAAGTAGGTGACCGAGGTTCATATCCTTGAACAAGAGGTCTGAGGAGGTGGAGGTCTGGTAGGGGAGGTCTGGAAGGGGAGTGAGAGTTGAGGTATGTCCTGAGGTCCCAACAGCTTGTCAGTACTCTAGTAACTTACCAGAACAATGTAGGAGTTCCAGAGGTGATGCAGACGTGGATGGGAGGAAGGGTGGAAGAGAGTTGAAGGAGGAGGTAGTCCTAGGATCATTGGCATTGACTGGAGGCAGCGGAGAGAGATTGGGAGGGCTGGTGGAGGTTATAGGAGTCGTCTAGGACTAGGGTGGAGGGAGGTGGAAGATCCAGGATATGACAGTCCTCAATAATAGCATATTTCTATGAAATTTATTCGGGGCTTGTGTCAGGGCAATAGCTGTCAGGGCACACCCGCCTGACCCGGGTCCACCCGGACCCACCCAGTCACACCACACCCGCTCCCCGCTGTCCAACCCTCTCCCTCCTCATTCCTCTGTCTCTCCTCCCCTTTTCCTTTTCTCTCTTTCTTCCCCTTTTCTTTATCTCATTCCTCTCATCTTCCTTTTCTTGTTTATTTCCTTCTATCTACACGGACCACCTTCCTCTGTATCAATGTACTATTGACCCGTCCGGCCCACACACCCCGGACGGCTCCCCGCTGTGCCCAACACGCGCGCATGCAGCGGATGCTCTCGGGATCCCCCACGGGGATACCCGGATGCCTGCGGCTGCCTCCAAGGGTGACGTGGCACTCGTCATGTGACTCAAGCCGCATGTACATAAATGTACCTGAAGTGGGAACCGAAGAAGTAACCTTCTTCTCACATT